AAAACATTGAAAGTGTTCTAACACGTTGTCTTCAATTTCTTTTGCGTCTTTTGAAAGAGCTTGATCAAGGTCTACCTGAAAACAAAGAAATTTTTCAAGGTCTATCTTATCTCTCACCATCAAAGGTTCTGCATCAAAGTTCTAAAATGCCATTCATTCATCTGCCTTTAAGGCATATTATGAAGGATAAAGCGCAAAACATTGAAGATCAGTACAGAAAAGTAAGTTTGGTTGACTGGTCTTCTACGGAGCTGTTTGAAAATTCTTGTACACCAAAAGATACAACTGAGTTCTGGACTGCAGTTCGCAACTACAAAAATACATCAGGAGATGCAGCATTTAAGGAACTAGCAGACTATTGCCTAACTTGTCTTGTTCTCCCTATATCAAACGCTTTTGTGGAACGTATTTTTTCTCAGGTCACCTTTGTTAAAAACAAACCAAGAAACAGAATGTCAGACAAATTGCTCAGCAGTGTAGTGCGAGTAAAAGCCTACCTTGCTAGCCGCAACAAATGTTGTAAAGACTTTAAAATCAGTGACAAAATGTTAACTAAATTGGGAACGGACATGTATTCTGACGATGATGAATTAGTCGAAGATGATCTCACTCTAATTGATGATTTAAACTAAAGGAAGTTTGATATTGAGACATTTTTTATAATTCTTTTAACAGAATTTGAAGTTTTCTTTAACTCATATTTTTTAACTTTAGATTTATATTTATTTGAAAGTTGAGTGAACATACTTATCTATTTAATAAATACATAAATAATCTATGTTAAACGTCGTTTTTTTATTGAAAAATATATAAAAAATATGTTAAAACTGATTAATATATGACTTTTAAAATAGTTTTATTGAATATATAGTTAATAAATAAGGTTCAATGTTTTTTTATAAAGTTTTTCTTCTATTTTAAAAGTTGGCATTTTTTTTGGCATTATTAATAAAAATTTGGCATTATTTGGCATTTTTTAGACAAGCATTTGGCATTTTAGCGCAAAAAAAATCTGGCAACGCTGTAACGATGATTTTTTTTTTAGTTTAACGATAAGTTATTTTTAAAGAAACTTTAAATTTTTAACAGACTTTGTTTTACGGCAATAAACCTTAATTAACTTTTTTAAAATATTATTTTACCCCGTCGCTTGCAGAAACTTGACGGGGTGTAATTCCGCCACTGCAAATTATTCGCTTTCATGTGTAACAAAAGTTCTAAAAAATTCAAAAAGATTTTAACGTTGAAAATTGATTTTATAATAATAAATAAATAAAAACTTTTATAAACTAGCAAGGTTTTACGTCACTAACATTATAGATTAAGTAACAATTATTTTCAAAACATCAATTTATAAATAAATACATAATAACGTGCGTTAAGCATATTTCGGACATATCGGATGCTTACATAAAAATCAATATTCAACGTTCAAATTTAAGTTCAGATTTTTTTTTATATTTCTATAACATTAAGAAAACAATAGTTTTTCATAATCTAAAAAAAATAATAATAATCTGTTCTTATTTTTGAAGAAATATGAATTTAAAGTATTACTCTCGAGGTGCCGAATACAACGGGGGTTGGGAATAAACGGGTGGGTGGGAATTTTAGTCAAAATTTAATAAACGGGGGGTTTTATTAAACAGGGGGGGGATGAGGAGATTTTTTCTGAAATTTATAACACGAGGTGGGGGAAGGGGGCGTTGAATTTGTAGTTGGAGGTAGATTTTATCTACAAAATAAATGTGCGGGTTTTTTTGTTTTAAAAAAAAGAACCTCTTCTAGTTCCAGTAAACAGAGAGAGAATGTAATTCAAGAATAATTTACCATAAACGACTTTAAAAAAGGTTTAATTATCAATATTTATTAACTTTAAATAAAATATATAAAAATGATCTTTTTATTTAAATAGATTGTTTTATCAAAATTTCAATAGGATTTAATATGCTGATATAAGTTTTATACTTTGCAAAGGATAAAACTTATATTCAGCATATCAAATCCAATTGAAAATAGGATAAACAGGGGGGGGGGGGGCATTTTTTAGGAACTCGAGAGTACTGTAGTAACATAGCTAAATCTTGGAACCGAAAAATAAGCGACCACGAGTGGCAAGGGCCACCTAGAGCTCTAGAGCGGTCCTAGCCACTTTTGACGCACTTTCGAAGCTTTTTTGAAAAAGAGGCCGTCTAGAGCTCTAGGCGGCCCTAGCCACTTTTGATGCACTTATGAAGCTTTTTTGACGCACGGGACATAGCATCGAATAGGCGCCCCTTTACACCTGCGTAATTTGAAAAAAATTAAAGGCAGAAGCAATCATGCATAAGCAGTACAGATACTTGGCTGTAAACATTTTATGGTCTAGAGTTTCCAGATATAATAAGTGAAGAATCCTTCAAACAATGAAAATGCAAAATATCATCCATGAAATCTTCTTCTTTGACGTCATTCATGAAGTCTTCTTCTTTGAAGTAATCGATGAAGTCTTCTTCTTTGACATTATTAGCGTAGAGTAATGCCAATTCACGAGTTTGTATATCATGGAGAGAATCTGGTTCTTGATCTTTTATCAATGTAAATTTAAACATCAAAAAGTCTTTACAATGTCAAATATTGATTTAATTTGATCAAGGGGATTTGAGGATGTTCACCTGAAATTGATGCTCCGTGCTCTCATGCCAAAAAGCTGCATTTGCAGGCTCACCGTGATACCATTTTTCTCTCTTCTCTTGTTTTGCCAAAAGTTTGGTTTCAAAGCTAAGAGGACCTGCAACGGCTTTTTATTCATGAACTCATGATTGACCATCGTTCAAAATGTTATTCAATAATGTGCAGATGTGGTTAAAGCCACTGTTTAGCTGTTGAATGAACAATTTGTCATTGATTGTTAGTGTAGTTGACTGAAACAAGTGGTTTACTTCATCTACTATTGGTAGAATTTTAAACCAAAAGGTCAGAAGCACCAAAGTTTTGAACGATTTAGCATGTAAATAATAAGATCAAGATCCTCTATAGTACTATAAAGGAAAGCACCGAGCAGACCATTTGGTATCTGAAATCTTGGGAAGAGAAATTCATGTCAATTCTTGCATAATCATCTAGCTAGCCGGACTGCAGCTGGAGAACGCGAAGAGAACTTGAACGTTGCCAAAAAAAATCTTCATATCAGCGCAAAATTCAACTCCATGTACTCCAGCTAAATAAAGGCTATGGGCTCAAAATTATATATATAAGGATAATGGATTATTCTTTAAAATTGATGCTCCGATGTTAGTTCCAGTCATATTTCAAATGTTGTCGTAACCTTGGGAACGACCTCTCTGCAAGTCCAGACTTAATTTTATTATGACATCACAAATCAGTTTAGCAATATAGAATCCTTTTTTTTCCTCCGTGTCTTCAACACAAAAAAAAACGCTCTTTTACTCCGCAGCATTTTTCGTTAAAGTTGAAATGAACAAAGCAAAGAATAAAAAATGATCTGTTCTGTTTGCAAAACACCGGTAATGACTGTAACAAAACACCGGTAATGACTGTAAAGTATTCAGCATCAGGCTAAATACTTTACAGTCAGTTTACATGCTAATGACAATATAAATTGTAAGTCTGTTAAAGAAAGTGAGCTTTCTTTAACAGACTTACAATTTATATTGTCATTAGCATGTAAACAATGCTGAAATTTCTTGTATGTTTTTTTAATAAAAAAGTTGGTGCAATGGATTCATGTCTTCTTAGCCCAGTATAAATCAGAAATCAGTTTGATTATTCTAAAGTTTTAAACATAATAATTCGTAAAATATTCTGTGAACATAATGAACACAAAGAACTTCTTCTTTTACTTCTTCTTCTAAAGAACTTACTGAAGCTGAATTCCAAAAACATTGTATTAAAACATCTCGTAAAAATCACAATACATTAAAATATTTGAATTGCGGGCCAATGTTTTTGTTCTAATACTTTTTTGTCATATGGTAACAAGAATCACTAAAAAATTAAACATTATATAGACACTTAAAAACTCTTCACCGTTTTCTGGCGCCCCTAATATCTCAGCGCCCGCGTCACAAATGCCCCATTTGCAACTCTCTCTCGGGTTTTTTCCTAGTACATTTTGGTTACTCTTTCAAACAAAAAAGTTTGAAAAAGTTGTAAACGTCAAGCTATAACTTGAAATTTTCAATATTTTGGTAAATTTGGATTTTTTTAAAATCTATATTGAACATGTATGTATATTTAACTACATATATATTAATATTAGAGTACACAATGAAACAATTAAACAATTTGACTTTTGATTTTCTTTTTACAATTATTATTGCTACCGTATCTTTTTGAAGATATTACACTGCAGAAGGGACAAAAGCAAACGTTTTAAATAGTGGGAGGGGGAGGGGGAGCAAAGGCCCCCGTTTTCGCCGCCTCTGACATAAGAGCTTATGTTATTTGCATATTTTGTTCATCTTGCTAAAATTGATTTTGGTGCTTGTCAATTCAAAGCAAAAATTTTTAATAAAAATTATCATATTGAACTTGATTGAATGTATCAAAAAAAAAAAAAAAAAAAAGTTACTGATAATTGGTATTATGGCTTTATAAGCAATGCCGGATCAACCCGGGCTAATCAGCAAAAATGTGCCATCCAAAAAAAAAAAGGGTCGCAGCAGGCCCTCCTCCGATTTTATAAATATATATGCTACTGCAGTTGTGGTTCTACGGCTCTGTTTTGCTGCATTCATTTTTGAATATATTTTTCAGAAGGATGGCGCAATATTTTCTAAATATGACAAAGCCTATGAATATATTCATTTTTACATATTTATTTTTATTAATTAGATATAATTCCGATTTGAATTTATATATTTTTAAATGCAAACGTATGCAATTATTTGTTATTAAAAAATCCGAAATTCAAATAATAAAATAAAATTTAAAAAAGTTTTTTTGTTTTGTTTAATATAATAAATGTTTTATTTAATACAGTCAATATAAATTTTTACCTATATAATTTTTCTAGTTTCTAAAAAACGCTTTACCCCTTCTCAGTGGTTTTTCATTAAGAAAGTGTGGTATGCTTGGACATTCAGGTAATTAATTTCCAAGTCGTCAACCTTTTCTTGTAATTTATTACTACCATTTCTTGTGTGTGTGTGTGTGTCTTTTTATTAACTAGAACTAGAAGTCCCAAAATCTTAAAAAATATATAAAAAATAACTTTACATGTGCATTTGTCATCAGCAAAGTTAAAACAGAGTATTAACTGTATATATATATATTTATATATATATATATATATATATATATATATATATATATATATATATATATATATATATATATATATATATATATATATATATATATATATATATATATATATATATATATATACATATATATATATATATATATATATATATATATATATATATATATATATATATATATATATAATATATATATATATATATATATACATATATATTTATATATATATATATATATAATATATATATATATATATACATATATATTTATATATATATATATATATATATATATATATATTTATATATATATATATATATATATATATATATATATATATATATATATATATATATATATATATATATATATATATATATGTAAAAAATAACTTTACATGTACATTTGTCATCAGCAAAGTTAAAACAGAGTATTAACTGTATATATATATATATATTTATATATATATATATATATATATATATATATATATATATATATATATATATATATATATATATTTATATATATATATATATATATATATATATATATTTAAAATATAGAGAAAAAATATAGAGAAGGCGGACACTGCTTTCCCCCCCCCCCCCAACCTATTTCCACAACTACAAAATTTTAAAGACTATTAAAATAGAAAAAGTAAAATTATTGCTCTCCAAACTGCAATAAAATATTCACAAATAAAAATAAAATATTCACAATAAAATAACCACAATAAAGCATATCCATTAAAATATTTATGACGATTTTGGCAACTGCAGATATTGGATTTTTTATAAGTTATGCAAAACATTTTATTCAAACCCTTTCACTTAGTGGGTTGTTAAATTTATAACTAATTAAATTTAGGAACAACCAGGCTTTGATTTAGGAATGAGCATGGGATGCCATGGCACAGGGGTCCATCCCAAGTTACGATCGCTAACATTAGAAATGTTTCTAAAAGTTTTTCTTCATATTAAAGACGCAAATAAAGTAGACGTTAGATGTCATACACAAATTTTAGGCAGTGAATATTTTTGTACTTGATTGTTTTCAAAGTGCTATTTCTGCGTTTGTAAAAGATCCCCAATCTTGTTTCCTAAAAATAATTTGATACATGAAGTTCTCGAGAGAAATCCATTGATACTTTTTGTTCTTGAACGGATCAATGAATTTTGCAAAATATGCAAGCTCATTTCTGAGACATACCTCAAGGTTGTCATTATTGAGCCTAAAAAGATTCAATGCTGCTATAATTATCTTATGCAATAAAAGCTAATCGAGTTATGTAGGAAACAGATCCGTGACCAAATCTCATATAAAAAAGATACGCAAGCTTATAATGCTCTAAAGCACTGATAAATTATTGAATGTCTGGCATGAAGTTTTTAAATGTAAATGTTCTCTCAGATTCTCTCTGCATTGATTCCGTTTGCGTATGATGATGTTTATAAAAGTTAATATCGTTGTATGTTACGTTGGCATTATCTTGTAAAACTCAAAACATGTATTCAGAAAATTTGTTGCTGCAACAGCTAAAATCCAGCACAAAGATGACAACAAACATCAACCAGTTAACCTATGTCATCTGCAATTTGATCGAGGATTTGTAAAGGTTTGTTCGTGTGACAGAACCTTTGTAGCAACAGCCCTACACTACCATTGCGTACTTTTGTTCCTAATAGGAACATGTACTAAGAGATGCGTTAGCACATATTACAGAAGTGAATATATATCCTATATATATCCTTAAAACTCTACTGCGGTAGAATAAATTTCTGATGCTGCTTCATTAACAAAATTTAGAGATTATACTTCAAGCAAGTGACAGTGTTAATACAAAATTTACCTGTAAACTTACTTATATTGTATTTATATTTTAAAAGTGTAGGTATGCTGCTTAAAAAGCTTAGAGCGCAATGTGTTAAACCAATTCTTTTTCACTTTAATTACTAAATATTTTTGTGTTATTAGCACTATTTTTCTATTATTCCGAAATAATTGTTGTAGCTCAATAATCTAGTGCGTTTAATTTTAGGCGGTTCGTTTAATGATCGAATCTCCATGGTACATATATTTTAATTTTAAATATACTTTTAACAAGATTGCTCAAAATCAAATTTCAATCTCAAAAATATATGTGATCGTTTCCCCCCCCCTCCTTTACTTTTAATCCTAAAATTTGGTTTTCCAGCCCCCCAAATTTTATTACCTTTCTACGCCAGTGTATATATATATATATATATATATATATATATATATATATATATATATATATATATATATATATATATATATATATATATATATATTTATATATATATTTATATATATATATATATATATATATATATATATTTATATATATATATATATATTTATGTATATATATATATATATATATATATATATATATATATATATATATATATATATATATATATATATATATATATATATATATATATATATATATATACTCTGCACGCACAACCTAAAAAAATTCCATTTTCTATAGTTTTTTATTTAAAGGAGATCCTCATCAGACCCTTTGCTTAAAGTTTTTTATAATTCAAGAATGTTGCTGATTGGTTACGCTAGCTATAACAACCAATAAGCCATTGCCAAACCTGAAAAGTTTTAGTAATACCTATAATTTATACAAATGTACTTACTTAAAGTTTAGTGCTTAACTCAAAGTTTAGTGCTTAAAAGCAATTAGTCGTTTGGAAGTATAAATGGTTTTTTGCTAGCCAATCAGAATAAGCCAAATATTGCTACATAAATTAATCGGAACTTAATTTAGAAAAGTTCTACCAAGTTACTAATATTTTACCAATATTATTATATTATTAAGTTTACAAATATTATTAGGTAATATATAATTAGTCCTGCATAGCTAATTTTAATATAATTTATTTTTTTATTGATTTTAATTCAAATTGCGCATGTCTTTCTTTCAGAATCAGCGAATCAGATTGCTTTTATCTGAGGTGATTCTGAGTCTGTATAGGGTTTCAAAATATGCATAAGGGAAATTGTTGCTGGGGCTCAGCCCCACCCGGGAAAATGTAATAAATACGTAAAAATAGCAAGCATACATAATATAATATGCATAATATAAACAAAAATACTAGTATTTTCGCGAATACTAAATATATAATTTTTTAAGTTTAGGCGTAAAATGCCATTTTGTATGAATTTATGAGTATGAGAATATGAATTTCAAAGAATTTATTCAGGGTTAGTAATTAAGTAAAAATAAGTAAAAAAAAATTAAAAAGATTCGACTTTTCAAAAGTTTTTCAGAAGAGTTTGTAAACCAAAATGTAAACCAAAAGAGTGTGTTTATGTGTTAGATATAAATCACTCATACAAACAAGCCAAAAAGATTTAAAGGCAAGGGTGGCAAATAAAAACACAAGAGCACATGCCAAAATATAAACTCTAAATTTTATCATATATTACCCAGCGGACATAGACGTCAATCAAACGTCTTACGGACGTCTTAACTAGGTTGCGACGTCTCAGACCAAATTAGGACGTCCTAAAGACGTCTGGTAAAGACGTCTTTGTTAGGACGTCATTGTGACGTTAATATAAAGACGATATCAGGACTTCAATATTTAGACGTCCTATTGACGTCGCTAAGACTTTCATAAGACGTCCTAATTACCTTAAAAATAAGTAGAAAAATTAATACTGTCAACTTGGCGCATACAATATTATGCGCAAACTCGGTTATTTACATGTCTACTTGTTTTGGTTGATTATTTTAAGACTATTATTTTGTTTAGTTATTTATCGTTTTAATTTTCTATATTCTATACTCTATGATCTATAAACCATAATCGATACAATATTTAAATAAAAGAGTAACTAAGTTACAAGTATAATGAGGGAACTTTAATAAAATAGGTACGTGCGTATCTGGCTATTTACGGCACCGATTTGTAAGTAAAAAACTGTGACCGTTTTTTTCACAGCGTGCTCGAAGTCGGTGTGGTAAGGATGTATTTATTAGTCTTTTTTTTTAGAATTTTATATCAGCTTAGACTTTTTTTGAAAAGTAGAATGTTTTAGGTTGTATAAATTATGTTTTTTTTCCAAAAGTATTAAGTTTTTCAGTGATTTTATTGCTCTTTAAAATTTTGTTCGTGTTCTGGAAGTGCATTGATATTGAAGGCATGTTGCTACACATTTAAAATTTTCCAGTCAGCTGTGTAAATCTATTTTCTATGTTCCTGCCAAATTTCATTAAAAAATATTCATGCGCAGACACCCTATTTTGCCACCTAGTGGAGGTACATTTTCCACCTTTTTTACAACTACTGTTACTGTTACACTTTATTAAACTGTTTCTGTTAATGTTACTGTTACTTCTTGATATAAATTCCGTTGTTTTTTTTACATTTACTAGTGATTTTTATTAGATTTTCAAATTTCGTTTCTGTTCTGGAGGTACATTAATATTGAAGGCATGTTGCTACACTTTTAAAATTTTCCAGTAAGCAGTATAAATCTATTTTCTATGTGCCTGCCAAATTTCATTAAAAAATATTCATGCGCAGACACCCTATTTTTCTGTACAGTGGAGGTATGTATTTCCACTTCCGTTTAGGCGGGGAGGGGGGGGGCGTAATTTGATGGTGAGCATTTGGTATATTAGATTGTTTATTCATAATAATGAGATATATAGATAGTTTTCATTAAAAAGGTATACAATTTTTTTTTCAATAGCCTTTTATTAGTAATAAATGGCTATTGAAAAAAAAAAAGTTGTTAGTAATAATATTACTAACACTATTGTTGTTAGTAATAATATTACTAACACTATTGATGATTTCACACACCAAAATTAGTTTCAAGGCTAAATTCTGTTAAATCTAATTTAAAATGCTGAAATAAAAATTATGACAC